ATTTTTGTCGAAACCTCGAGGTAATAAAAAGATTTACTGGCCGAAGTATCTTTATTTTCAAGAAATGCAACATATTCAATTTGTGAGAAAAAGGGGCATTTTCTGATCTTGCAACTAAAAGTTTATGATGGCTTGCGCCATCAATCGGAATAAATAAATATATATATATAGATGGAAAATTTGCCGGGAGGAAATTGATCCATAGAAGCATAGGGCGCCTCTCCCGTCAAAATAAACATCAAAAACTGACGTCATATATTGGCCGTTGCCGCAACTAGCGGCCTCGGGTCGGTGACAAAGCCACAACACCAGCTTTGACGTTTACTTTGACGGGAGAGGCGCCCTATATAGTTGATATTTATTCCGATAAATGCCGCAAGCCATCAGAAATTTTAGTTGCACTATCAGAAAATGCCCCTTTTCCTCACAAATTGTATATGCTGTATTTCTTGAAAATAAAGATACTTCGGGGCCAGTAAATCTTTTTATTATCTCGACGTTTCGACAAAAAAGTTTTGTCCTCGTCAGGAGCAAACAACGTTCTTTAAAAAGAAATATTTGCGGTAAACTTTGTTAAACGTTGTTATATAATAAACATTTGAACTTTAATTTATTATACATTGTATATTAAAAATAAAGAAGACATATCCTAACCAGGAGCACATGTGCTTTTAAGAAAGCAGAGCGCCATCTAGTGGAACAGAAATCAACTAAACATTGTGTTGTAGATAAATGATAAAACTAACTTTGACTTGTGCTTAATTAATAGGTAGAAAATCTTAGTTTTGATGAATAATCTTTAAGATAATAAACTTAGTGATAATAAAACTTGTTGGTAATCAAACTTATAGATTATAAAACTTGTTGATATTCAAACTTTTAGATAAAAAACTTAGATGTAATAAAACTTATCGGTAAATAAAAGCACTATTTATAAACATTTTGGTAGAAAAACTTGCTTAAATATATGTTTGAGATAGTGTACTTAACTTGGATAATTTAAGAATGAAAATTTAGGTACTTTAATTAAAACATAAGGATTAAATATGAAAAAGTTCGACGCGCGTGTAAATGCCGTCGCTTCCCTTTTTGGTAAAAGTTCTTTCTGCTTCTTTTTTTCCACCGCGCATGCGCACCAGCTCTGATTCTTCGTCACCAACTACGGAGGCGCACCACTTCTCACCGGCGGTGGCGCCGCCAGGGGAGCTTAGCTAGATTTGGTCAATCTAGCCTCTCCACATTGATTTAACCTGCTTCCTGATATTTGGCCAACCCATTTTCTTGATAAATCAAGCCACCCACGAACGTGTTTCGCGCTGTGCTATACATGGATATAGATATAGAAGTAGTTTGAATTCCTAGAAGAAGATAGGCGAACAGCCTCGTCGAAATATTGAAATTTAAAATAAATATACAAAAATTGATACAATATTTCCTGGATACAGAGCTGTTGCTAAATGTCAAGGCTTTATACATAGAAAACAATGTGTTGTACAAACACATTAATATATTTAAAGGCGTAAGATTCTTTTTGAAAATAAACAATTTCTACTGCCCTTACTGCAATGGAAAAATTAACCGCTGGAAGGGTTCACCACTGATGAGCCAGGCCCTCCCATTAATGTTTCCATTGCAGTAAGGGCAGTAGAAATTGTTTATTTTCAGAAAGAATCTTACGCCTTTAAAATAGTTTCGAATTTTGATAACAGATGGCGCGCTAGTGCATCACATTAATATATTATTTTTAATAAAGCACTAAAATCGTTTGAGTCAAAATGGGCATCCAGAACTCACACCAGAGGAAGTTCCTGGAGGCCATAGCATCAATGAAGGACCCTGCTGGTGTAAACAGATATGAAGAGATCCCCGAACCTTATGTGTCTCTTTTAACTTAATTTTTTTAAATATAATAATCGCAGTCAACTTCATTTGTTTCTTATTTTTATTTCCTTACATTTTGTTCCAAAAACATTTAATAAAATACTGCCTTACTAAAAAGCCTTTAATTTTCATAATATTTTATTGTATTATTATTATTTTATTTTTTTATGTATTATTATCAATAATTGTTTTTGACCAATGACAAAGTTGTTTTCATGTGATCTACAATAATTTGTAAATTAAATTCACTGTGCAATAAATTGATAAAGAGGGAGCAATCTCTCGAAATATTTTAAAAATAAAAAAATTGTTTTTTTTTCTTTACAGATCCAGGAACGCCCTTTTATATAAACTAAAATGGTTGTTTAAAAAATGGAACACTTTCTGTATTTGATCCATAATATGTTCTGTGCTGTGTGTGATGAAGGATCTGTGTCCATAGTAAATTTGCCTATCGTAGAGAGAATATATTAATGATATATATTCATTAATGTTTTTTTCAACAGTCAAAATGAATATTTTTTTATTTCACAGAATTTTTCAAAGTAGCTGATTAAAAAAAAAACCTTTCACGGTACAGTTTCAGGTTTACAAGTGATTGCCAAGTTTTCAAGACAAAATGAAAGTGTTATAATAAAAAAAAATGGTGGTAAAAAAAAGGCAATAAAAAATAAATCGAAAAAAAAAACAAAACAATATATATAGTCATTAAAAAAAGGCATTTCCTTATCGTGAAATCGTGAAACTAAAAGTTGTTGATGGTTTTCGTCATCTTTCGGAATAAATATCAACTATTCAACCGATAGATGGCGCAAGCCATCAAAAACTTTCAGTTACACAATAAGGAGATGTCTTTTTTCATAATTTATGCATCTTATCCCAGTGAAATATCACATTTGTACTATTTTTTCCATAGTCATGTATGTTGTATAAAAAGATTGTAGTAAAGGACAGTAGAAATTGTCTAATTTTTTTAACTAGAATCATATGTTAAGAGAAAGGCATCTCCTTATCGTGCAAATGAAAGTTGCTGATGGCTTGCGACATCTATCGGAATAAATATCAACTATTCTCTTTGATTTCTAATTATTCCAGAATTGGCCAAATACCCATTCTTGATTAATCAAGAAAAGCTAACCACAGACGCGTTTCAGGCTGTTGGCCCTCATCAGCGTGGTGCAAGCTGTATCTCAACGACCAAAAAAAGAATCATATGTGTTTATAATAGTTTCAAATTTTGATAACAGATGGCGTGCTAATGTATCATTATAGAAAGATCTAGAAAGAAACTTACAGTCCCTTGAGATGGTCCCTGTAGCGGTAGAGGGAAGTCCGAGTGATGACAGAGATGGTCCCCGACACCAGCCATCTGTTACCAACACAGTACCTGTAACTTACCGCGTCATAAATGGTTACAATACAGTGAAATCTACCATTTGTATCATTGGTAAACTGGCGAAACCGCTGAGAAGGTTCACCACTGATGAGCCAGGCCCTACCATGATTTTTTTCCATTGCAATAAGGACAGTAGGAATTGTTTTATTTTTAAAAGAATCATACGTGTCTATAATAGTTTGAATTTTGATAACAGATGGCGCTCTAATGCATCATAATATAATTGTTCAAATAAAAGACTCAATTTGATATTTGTGGAAGAGCGATTGCTCGAAGCATATTATATATTTATAATTATATGTAATTCTACTGTCCTCAAAGCTTATGTCCATAGTTCATCTAAAATACCCATTCCAAGAGTCTAGCAACAGTATCACTATAAAAGGAAGTTCTAAAAATGCAATATAACAGTGGTATGGTAGATTAAACTGGCGAAACCGCTGGGAGGGTTCACCACTGATGATCCAGGCCCTACCATTCATTTTTTCCATTGCAGTAAATACAATAGATATTGTTTTATTTTTAAAAAGAATCATACACGTCTATAACAGTTTTGAATTTATACTATTTATATCTTGTTTATTATTTACATATTTTTTTAATTTGCTCGTTAACTATTTTGCATATTTATTTAGTGTTTGTTTTATGATGAAATATAAATTATATTTTCCTCTGTTTCATTCAAAATAAATAGACGACATTAAAGACTTTATACTTTCCTATATATAGAAAAAATATAGATGGAATTGTCTTTAAAATACGCACACAAGTTTAAAAATATTTATACATTTTATAACATGGGTATTTAAACAGTAGAAATGCCTTTCTTTATTTGTGAAAAGCGCAAGTTTTTTTATATAAATAAAGTATAAATAAAATATTTATTTATACAATCTTTATTCATTTATTTATTTACAAAATTCCCTGTCTCGATTGTGAACAGTGTTACATCGGAGAAACCGGTCGATCTATCCGCACCAGGTTATCTGAACACAGCCGCAACATACGCACCAACGACCGCAAGTCTCTCTTATGCCAACACATCACAGAATTTCGCCACTCGTTCAATTTGGACAGCGCTGTATGCGTTTGCAAGGGCGTCGGGAACAAGTATCAGCGCCTAGTCCCTGAATCTTTGATCTCGCACTGCACGCCCAGTTTCAACCGAAAAATCGACCTCCCACCCCAATACTCCGTGTTTTACCTCGCCAATCCCCCCAGCTGAACTATTTACCTACTGTATTGGGCTATCTTTCATGTCCATAGTTTTAAAATATTGCCAAGTTGTAACCTGAAGAAGGGCATTTTTGCCTGAAAGCTTGTTTTTTTACCATTAAAATAAAATCACCACGTTTTTATCGCCTTCATTTCAAACTTTATTTATGGATACGAAAGCTTGTACTTTGAATGAATAAAGAAACGCATTGTTATTGTTTATATTTTTATACTTTATTGTCATGTTCTCTGTTAATGGAATATCTTACATTGTATAACGTTATTTTAAACTAACTATGGTTGATGTAATTGGTTAAAATAATCGCTAGGAGCTGGCTGGAGTAATGTCTGGCGAACGTGAAGGGACAGGGGTCGACAGCGTGAGTCCATTTATCATTTATATGGGGTCAGAGGTAATCCCTACGTTGCCATGGTGACAGGTTGTAATTAGCTCGACTGGTCACCTGTTGTCACCGCGGAACCTACTCACCGCTGTAACTGCTAGTAGAGGCCGGTGGTGTAGTGGTATAAACCTTCAACTCCCAACCGAAACGACAGGGGTTCGAATCCCGCCTGGTCAACTTTTTTTTTTTTTCAAATAATTTTATTTAAAATGGACACTGATATTTTGTAAAATTCAACTTTTCTATATTGAGTACATGTAACTAAACGGGGTTCTTGTGACATACTTGTAAGTTCAAAAGTCGAAATTATTTCTACATATGTAGACATGTGACAATTGACAATTAAAATAAATTTATTGACTAATTGGTCAACCTGTACACTCCGGAGAGTTAATTACATCAAAAGTACAATTTTACAACAGGGGGTACCCTAAGAGAGGGTCTGTAACAATCAAGATGGCAAGGCGGCTCTGATCTCAGACAATCCCCGGCGAATAGAGGGATCCATGTCCTGAATATGCTCGATTACCGCTTCCAGAAATTGGGCGAGAAGGATTTTCTGCCTCGGCGAAGGGTATGCGAGGAAGCTCTCCCTCTTCTCAGGGCATTGGACCGCCTCCACGATTTCGCTCACGTAGATCGACGTATCGAGCACGAAATTCGAGAAGGGTCCTCGCATTGATTCTTTTATTCTAACCTTCAACACCTTCCAACGGTCCGGCACCGGATCATCCTTCGCATGGGCAGACGGCGGAGGCGGAGGTGCCGCCATGGCCGGCGCCGACTCCCTCCTCTGGGGAGCGGGCGGCGTCGGCTCAGCAGGCCGAGGCGCAGGCAGTGGAGGTGTTGGAGGCACTGCTGGTGTTGTCCTGAGCTCAGCTTTGACTTGTCCGAGGACTTTGTAAAGGTTGCTGGCTGCTCCGGGCCTCAGATCCAAGATTTGCCCGATCAGGCCGACGAGGGCGTCGCACTGCGGAGGCGACAGGAGGGGTCCTTTCCTCTGCGCCTTGGTCCTCGAGGAGAGGAGGTCCAGGACCTCCTCCCGCCCAAGACCAAAGGCGTCCGTCTCAGCGAAGGACACGCTGGGGTGCCCCTCGATGAACGCATTGAGGTCGACTCTTGTTGCGTTCTTTGCCGCTGACGTGGAGGACGCAGAGGTCTCCTCCACGATGGACATCTCCACGTCCGGTGTTGGGGCTGTAGGCCCGAGGGTCTCCTGGGTGGGCAGAGGGTCACGCGGGGCAACGAAGTCTGGCCGAGCGGGAGGCGTCGGCTCTGGATGTTGTGACTTGGCTGGGCGAGGGCCTACGGGAACCTCAGGCGCCTGCAGGGACGGAGCAGGGGTCACAGGTGGAGGGGCAGAAGGCGTCTCCTCCATGGGTAAGGCTGGGGCCGCTAGTGAAGATGGCCGAGGTGCGGATGGATGGAGCACAGCTCGGGCCACGGGAGGAGCGCTGCAAACCTCCATGGCTGGACTGGGAGGCGCTGGCGCAGGAGGCGCGGCCGAAGTCCGCCTAGGTAGCCCAGGCGCAGTTGAGGGTGGGAGGCTGGTGGAAGGGGGCGGTGAAGCCCGTCTGGAGGTGGTGGGTCGCCCATGGAGTTGGGGGCAGTTGGCTCTTCTGTGACCCTGGCCACGGCATTTAGAGCACTTTATTCCGAATGTTAGGAATGCTGGCCAGGTCTCGCCCTTGATCTTTATTACGAATCGAGCGGGGAGCATTTCGACGGTTATGCCGTCATGGAGGAGAATAAAGGCCTCCCGGCGGCTGTCGGTGAAATCAAATTCGCCGACTCTTAGTTGTTTGGGGGCGATGGAAGTGATACGGCCGTATCTGGAGAGGGCATCCATGACGGCGGCGTCTCCCACAAAGAAGGGGAGGTTCCCAATCGTTATTCTTATTGAATTCCTCCTAAAGGGGAAGGTCTTGAGAAGGGTTCCCTCGATCTCGAGGCCCTCTCGAACTAGGCGCTCCGCCAGGGATCTGTTGGCGAGTCCGACCAAGTATTGCCCGTTCACCTTAGTGAACTGGACAATGTTTCTTGTGCTTCCGACCACCTTTTCTATAGCTTTCATGTACTGCTAGGTCTGGTATTCTGGGCAGTACTCGAAGAAACAGCCCTGCTCCTCGGTGCAGGACGCCTGGCGAGCCCTGGCCTCCATGACCTGTGCCCTCGTGGTCCTGATCTCCTGGACCTGGGGCATCCGTCCTGTCGACGGTCGCTGTCGGCGAGAAGTGCCAGCGCTGTTAGACTGCGCGGCGATGGCAGGCAGATCCGGCGAGTCGCGGCGCCTCTTCCTGCCTTTTACGACTGTGAAGCTGTCATCCTCCTCAGAATTCACGTCCTCGGCATAGTCTGCCCAGTTTCTTTGGGCATCGACACCGCGGTTGGAAGAAGAGATAGCCGCCAAGTTGAATTGCGCGGTCGAATTTACATTTCTCTCGCCGGCGGGCGAATTTGCATAAGTTTCAATTTTTTCTTGAATATTCGAGATATTTCTCTGCGAATTGAAAATTGCAGATTTCTCTGCACAGGGCAGCGCTTCGATGCCGTGCCTTCCAGGCATTTGATCAGCAGATTCTGAGCTCCCTGGTGATGCCGAATTTGGCATGTCTAATGACATATCATAGCTCGCCAGAGGCGAAAATCCCGGAGCTCGCGCGACGCGTGGCCGCACGGCCGAATGTAGACATGTGGTGTACTTACAGTAAAAACAGTCGCTAACTACCCACCAGGATTATCATGGCCTGTACCATATGTAGACATGTGGTGTACTTACAGTAAAAGACAGTCGCTAACTACCCACCAGGATTATCATGGCCTGTAACATATGTAGACATATGGTGTACTTACAGTAAAAGAAAGTCGCTAACTACCCACCAGGATTATCATGGCCTGTACCATATGTAGACATGTGGTGTACTTACAGTAAAAGACAGTCGCTAACTACCCACCAGGATTATCATGGCCTGTAACATATGTAGACATGTGACAATGACAATGAAAACAAGTTTTATTGACTATTTAGTCAACGATTACACAGTTAACAAGAAATATTTACAGTTGTCTGGACCGTCAGGAGCCCAGAGCCAGCTTAAGGTTGAATATTTTCCTGCAAATAGTGGGATGGCTGTTCCGCGTTCGCACGATAGCAGCGTCAAGAAAGCCCGCGAGAATGTTCCTCTTCTCAGACGGAATTTCGAGGTGATACTCTTCGGGGTATAGAACCGCGAACATAACGTCATCCAGGTCAATCCCCGATTCTAACATGGGCCTTGAGCCAGGTTCAACGATCATTTCGTTGAATATTGTATCTATGTCCGGCATCAGATCCTTCTGCTTCATCGGGGCAGGTAGTGGAGGCGGTGGTGTTATCATGGCTGTAAATGAATCCTCCTTATGGGGAGCGGGCGGCGCCGGCTTGGCAGGCCGAGGCGCAGGCAGTGCTTCCTCCGTCATTGGATTGTCCTCCTCCATGTCCGTCGGGGCGGGGGGCGGAGGTGTCATCGAAGGAGGTGTCAGTTCCTCCCTGTGGGTAGTGGGCAGCATAGGCTCAGCGGGCCGAGGCGCAGGCAGTGGGGGTGTTGGAGGCACTGCAGCTGGTGTTGTCCTCAGCTCAGCTTTGACTTGCCCGAGGACTTTGTAGAGGTTGCTGGCTGCTCCGGGCCTCAGATCCAATATTTGCCTAATCAGGCCGGCGAGGGCGTCGCACTGCGGAGGCGACAGGAGGGGTCCTTTCCTCTGCGCCTTGGTCCTCGAGGAGAGGAGGTCTAAGACCTCCTCCCGCCCAAGACCAAGGGCGTCCGTCCCAGCGAAGGACACGCTGGGGTGCTTCTCGATGAACGCATCGAGGTCGACTCTCGTTGCGTTCTTTGCCGATGACGTGGAGAACGCAGAGGTCTCCTCCACGATGGACATCTCCACGTCCGGTGTTGGGGCTGCAGGCTCGCGACTCCCAGGTGTTCGAAGGGACGGAGCAGGGGTCACTGGTGGAGGGGCAGGAGACGCATCCTCCGCAGGTAAGGCCGAAGGCGCAGGTGGTGATTGCCGGAGTGCTGCAGGTGGATGGAGCGCAGCTCGGCTTGTGGGAGGCACGTCGGAGACCTCCATGGTTGGGCTGGGGGATGCCGGAGGTGGAGGCTGGGTAGATGGTTGTTGAGGCAGCCTAGGCGCAGTCGCTGGTGGGACGCTGGTTGGAGAGGTTGGTGTGGCCGGTCCAGGAGCGGTGGTTCGCCCTGCAAGCAGGGGACAGTTGGCCCTGCGGTGCCCCTGCCCGTGGCATCTGGAGCATTTAATGCCGGAGGACAGGTAAGCGGGCCAGGCCTCGCCTTTGATGGTGATGTTGAGGCGGGTGGGGAGCCTCTCGGTGGTCACTCCCTCGTGGAGGACGATGAACGCCTCACGGCGGCCGTCGGTGTAGGTGTATGGGCCGGCCTTCATCATTTTGGGCGCGATGGATGTAATGCGCCCATAGGGCCCAAGGGCCTTGATGATGGCTGCGTCCTCCACGAAGAAGGGGAGGTTGCCCACCGTTATCCTCTCCGCTCTTTTGCGGAAAGGGAAAGCCCTGAGGAGAGTGCCCTCAACCTCAAGGCCGTTGTTAATGAGGCGCTCGGCGAGGCCTCTGTTGGCCAGCCCCAGGAGTTGGTGGCCGTTTACCTTGGAGACTTGGACGACTCCGGCGGTTCCTCCAAGTAGCCTGTCCAGCGCCCTCAGGTAATGGAAGGGCTGCAGTTCGGGGCCGTGTTCCAGGTAGACGCAGTGCTCCTCAGCAGAGGACGCCTGCCGCGCCCGGGCCTCCGCGATGTGGGCCCTGGTTGTCGGGATCTCCTGCGCCCGCGGCACCGAATGCGCCGATGGTTGAGGTCGGCGAATGGTCCTAGAGCCTCCGGGATTGGAGGATGGTGCAGCCGCCGTAGGCGAATCTGCCGAGCCACGGCGCCTCTTCCTACCCTGGACGAGGGTAAATCCTTCCTCAGCTCCAGGATTCACCTCTTCTGTAATGTCAGCCCAGTTTCTCCGGACTTGAGCAGCGGCGTTAGAAGTTGGAATAGCCGCAAGGTCGACCGGCGCGGCAGAATTTGCATCCTGGCTGCCGGCGGGCAAATTTGCATAGTGTTGATTTTTAGTCAAAACTATTGGATTTTTGTTCTGCAGATCTTGGTTTGCAGATATTT